TACTCTACTAAGAATACTGTGGCGTTTAGTACAGCTCTTCGTACTATACTAAAATTTTTGTAAGTACGGCTCTTCAATACTCTACTAAACATTTTTTTGAGTATAGTATGGCTTTTCAACTCTAATCATACTCACATTTTAGTATGGCTCTTCATACTCTACTCAACGTACGCTTGCGGTTTAGTACGGCTTTTCATACTCTACTAAACATACTCTTTGAGTTCAGTACCTGACCTCTGTACTCTACTCAGGTGAGTAGAGTATTCACCTCTCTCATACTCTACTCTACTCAGCCGTTAGTACAGGTTCTCCATACTCTACTAAACATACTATACTATACTAAACATTCCCGTGAAAGTTTTCTGAGGTACATCTGCAGTTGTCGGAAGGCAAAAAAAAAAAAAAATCACTGGACCATTATCCCTATAAAAAATTGGGACGTCGCTAGAACACTATGTCGCATTTATAGAGAATAGTCAAACTGCACCAACATGTTGTTTTCATTTGGCTTGCGGGCACAACGTAAGTTTCCAATTCTTCGTGCTGCTCGCGATATCCTTGTTGTGTGATTTTCGTACAACTATCATGATCTTCCCGAGGTCGCCATCCCCAGCATGAAGGGCAGGAACACCAACCGACGATGGCTCAATCGCCGCGCCGTCCATTGCCGCGCGTATCCTCCTCTGCCTCTCCCGCCCCCCCCCTCCTCTCTAAGGTACAACGATGTACTTCGTAAGTGATAATGTTTGCTGTATGATTTCCTAGGGCTGCTGGTGGTCTGCCACTCAGGCTCCCCGTCGCTGGTGTCAATACGCAATGCAACCAGCCTCAGATTAGATGTGTTCTCGTAAGGAGACTCGGGCAATTCCACTACTGCTCCTCCCCTGCAAACAGGCGTGCGGCATGTGACTCAAGCAAACAAACATGGAAGCAACCAGTAGGCAGCAGTCACGCGACAGGCGAAACAGGGAGAGCCGAGAGGGCTGTCAATCCAAAGTCGAGCCGTCGGAGATATCCCGGAATACATCGTTCACCAAAACTTCGATCACCCGAAAAATTCGATAAATTTCTAGTGCGCGCCGAAAAGCCGCGCTCGGTGTTGTTACGCGTCCAGCAGGTGAGAGCCGCAGCTACCAAGTCTGTACCTGTCCCCTACCACCGAAGTTGCCTCAAACCATAAGCAGGGTAACCTCCTACTGCACTCTGGGACCAGGATTCGTGCGTGCACAGCAGCACAGCGTGCATTCGGACTCTTGTGCTGCTGTAGGCCTGCAGATGCCATGGTGACCAACTGGGAGAATCTCAAAATTTGCATAGATACTGTAGATTGACTTGACTTGGTCAGCGCCTGGTGCCCTGGTGCGTGAACACACTGGCATGCCCCACTCACCCGTTGACTTGGTTCACCAGGCTTCGTTGATGACGACCAGTTCAAGCCGAACGCCGAGGCCGAAAGCGGCAAGACTATCTGTGAGCGAGGTGCAACGAACGTGTGCAAGAGGTTTGTGAATGAATGTTGCGGGTGGCATCACCGTGGTTGTTCATGTTGACCGGAGACCGAGAATCTTGATATTCCTGTGAAATTGTAGAAGAATAGTCACAGCCTAGCACTTGTGCGTACATGCATCAGAGCCGCAAGACAGCTCTCAAGTGCAAGATGAGGAGGGCGCTGTGCATCTATTTGCCATTTGTTCGAGGGCGAACGGAGACCTTTCGCGAAACACACGGGATCAACGTGCATAGACACACTTATCCTCACTTTTGATAGATTCTCTAAAAGCTGTTAGACGACGTAAAGCATCCCGAACATTGATCCACGATACTTGGACGTTACACCGCCATTTGTTCCAGGGCGAAATGAGTCCTTTTGAAAACACATGGAATCCGTAGAAACGATTGATCCGCACCCTGGATGCATTCATTCCCTGAAAGCTGTTGTGAAAATGAGTGCGTTCATGGGCATTGATCCACGATACCTATCTGAAGCGATACCACCTCCGCCAACTAGCGTTTCCTGAAAGGAAAACGGGGGCTCGATACTAGACGATGCACGTGGGTCTCGGCACCGATACATCGAGACGTGATACCATGCATACCCCCGCCCGCGTCAGTTATGTTGGGCAGAGGATCATCATTGATTGTTAATGCCAGCAGTACAACACGGAGCCTCTCGCTGAATTGAGGGCGGGAGTGTGTTGTCTACGGAAGGC